TTCCCCCGGTTCCTGTCAGCCTACGCCATGCTGGCTGTGGTCCTCTACCTGTTAGCAACCATCATCTGGCCTATCTTCAACTTTGACCCCAGGCACGGTGGGAATAAAAATAGGCCATACAACTGCAACACACAATTGGGGTTGTGTTCATGGGATAAGGGCATGACAGTGGCTGTACTCACCGGTGTCAACTTCATCCTCTACCTGGCAGACCTGATCTACTCCACCCGTCTGATATTTGTCAACGCATGAGAAACAAGAAGTAAGGGTAGCAGTATGCTCCAAATAAAACTGAATTTCCCCACTTTGACAAAGGCTGTGGAACTGCTTTCAGTTATACTGCTGCAAGCAATTTGACTTTTGATAGAGGCAGACAGTAGGAGTTTTTAATGGCAGATCAGTTCCCATTTTAATACATTTTTTCATGTGTACAGGAATGCTTATTATTTGGATTGTAATAAGCTATCAACAGATTTTCCAAAAGAAGACTCAAAAAAATGCTGTGTGCATGGAAATAAGACAGAGGAACAAAAACAAAGATAGCATTGAGTTTTTGTTAGATATTTTTTGCACTATGGATACCCAAGAATAATTTTGGCATGCAGAGTGGAGCAGCCAGGGAATAGTACATGACCTGCTCTACCTCCTCAGCTACAGCCACCCTGATGTGATGCTGTTGTGTCAGTATGGACCAAAATTGAGGAATGTTTTCAACACATTGTTGATGTTATCTTTATATGTATTTAAGTAAATTATGGCAGTTCTTAAGGACAAAGGGCATTCAACCTGGGACTAGCAAGGTATGCCTAATAAAGTTTCCAGTGAGTGTATGCTTGCAGTTTAGGATTCCTCAGGATTGACTGTTAAAACTGATTTTCATTCATCAAATTCATGATTGTCCACTGAAATAGATGCAAAGCACCACGTTTTCCTAATCACTCTTCTGAAACCTGATTTTCTGTTAAACTCTGATCTCTAATTGTGCTGAATGTTCACAAAGTATATAAATGAATTAACTAAGTAAACTAACTGTCAATCAGCATCAGCTCAAAACACCACCTCTGTTCTCAGAGAGACTCCAGCTTTGTGCGGACCCCAGGATGTGAATCAGTGACAACTGTGATTCACACCAACTGTAAATGTTTGACCACTGGAGGCTACAAGGGGGGCAGAGTGGAAACTATGAATATTTAAGTTGCCTGTAAATCTATCGTCAGGAAACAAGACAGCGGTGACGCCCAATCGAGACACAATGACTTGTACATTATTTTTCTAAAGGAAATGTTGGATAATCTGGTCTGGGAATGTGGTGCTGTAGCTGCTGGCAAGATCAGAGTTAATAGGGCTTTACCATAAATCATGAACATGATGACTCAGCTTCAACCAGCCTAGACAGTTTTTAAAGTTTGGTTTACAGCATATATATGAGAAAAGTGGTTGGTAGATAAATAATATGAAGCTAAATTAACAGCTTTGTGCGATTAACCATGTTTATCATCCCAAGCAATATATCGTCATTAATGTGGACAGAACACAGAAGACTTTTTATGTTCTCTTTATACCAGAAATGTCCCCTTTGGGATTTCAATTATACTGAAATTTGTGATCATCAAAATGTTTTTCTGTATTTTCTCTGTCATGTCACTTCGATGTTTTACCTGCACAGAATTTAACAAAAAAAACTCTTTACTGGGTCATCTGCTAATAGAGGAAAAGGACTCTGAGCTCATGCAAAAAAGAGAGGTCAAGATGTTTACCAGTCTAGTCACGACTTGACTGGAGGCCAATCCTGGTCCAACTTCCTGCATGATGTAGTAACTTAAAGCCAGTATTGCTAAACGCTGATCAGTGTCTGGATTTTAAATGAAGGAGAAAAGAATAACTGTACTATTCTGCATTAAAAACACCTTTGCTGCAATGGTTTAGGGATTTTTAAAGTCTTAAAAATCTGTTTTGAATCAACAGATAAAAACAAATCAGACCCATCTTACTACTTTGATTTAACAAACGTTTCATTTCTGCACATTTTCATTTTAATAAAAGAAATATTGTGCAATCTGCAATAATTAAACATTACACATCTTAACTCTATTGTGCTTGTGTGTGTGTGATTTTTTACTCCATCTCGTATAAGTTTCATTTATAGGGACAAAAGTCCTGTGCAGATCAGCTTCCTTACCCTACGTTACTAAATTAATTCTTGGCCATCCCACTCTGACTCACAGGAAGAACAAAGAGTAAGTCAGCAGCACTACAATAGCTTGATACAATCTCAACTGAAAGAGGCCATAGAAAGAACTCTGTCTCTTACGCAGCATCATGTTTCCACTGGAAGAGCAGACGTGTTGTTCCAAACACTGCCAAGAGTTAAATGTGGAACAACAAGCACTTGAATGACAGCACAATACCTAACTGAGAACATGTGGCTAATTAACAGAGACGCACAGATGTGCTGAGAGCCTGAAATGTGCAGCAGTGCTGACATGCATACATTCTCATCTTCCTGAAACTGCTTGTACACAGCCTTCTGCTTGGCCCGAACCTGATTTCTTCCTGATTTTTAATGGCTAATAGCTGGTCAAGCTGTGTGTGTGTGTGTGTGTGTGTGTAACAAATTAAGTAATTTAAAGAAGTAAGTTTCCCAATATGCTCATTTGCTTTCAACATGTTTGTGTCCTCTGACTTTACACTGACCCTTTGCCGTGTTGAATTTAGCTTCTTGCTGCACAGTCTCATATCATCTTTTTATTTTAAAGGGGAACTTCAACACTTTACCACACATAAAAATCAGTGTGTTATAGAGCCTGTAAAGCACCAAGTCGTGTTTTTTATCAAAGGTTATGTGACGTCAGTCAAGAAACAGTCAAACACGAGACCCCCTCATAAAACCACAATTTGATCTCTTTTTACTTCCATTGGGGGATCAACAAAAAGTGAAGATGGTGATCAAAAAGCTTTAGAAATATTCTCTTCTCACTTTGTTACTTTTTTTTATGCCAAACAAAGAGACTGATGTCTGCAGTCTCTTATTTATAGGTCAGCCTAGCAAGTACCCACCCGTGTTCTTCTCAAGAGCATTTAACAGATTATAGCACAAGGTCCAAAGTAATTAGAGACATTTAGATGTATACTTACATTATAAACCTTATAAACTTATAAGGTTTATA